GTGAATTTTTATATTACTGGACAGTCCGATTAAGGTTGATAATTTGTTGGCTTGTTTACCAGATTTTGTTTTTACTAGTATTTGGCCACTAAGTATTTTTTTGCACATAAGCACTTCGCCACATGTAGCGTCAATTGCTTTTTGTAGTAAAAAAGGGGATATGTTTTTAAGTGTTTCTGTGGTATTTATCCTTGTCATTACAAGGTACACTGGATCGATTGTTGTTAGGTTTAATGTTTTAGTTGGGTCCCACTCAAGGTAGGGGGTATGAGGTATTAGTATTGTTGTATTGTCAGGTGGTTTATTCATTTTGGTTGATTACAGAGCACTACTGCTGAATTAATTTTTTATAATATTATATGTGGGTGGCTATTCTCTCACTTTTTGTATGTTTAATTGATTTCTTAGTCACTTTCTTTCTTTTTCTTTAGTTCACTGTTTAACTCACGATGCGTATAGTCGTTTCAGAGCTTCCGATCGCTTTGACGGTATAACACAGACTGATGTATTTGTAAAATATATTTTTAACATACTGACAAATTGCTTAAAAATATTTATATACCGTGCGCCATTGGTCGAGGTTTTTCAAAGCACCATCAGGAAATTATGCGCACTAGTTAATTCGCTCTACTTCCTATCGCGGTCTGATTTTCCATGGAGGTTCTGCAACCGAGACCCTGCCAATCAGCTACATTTTTCAAGAATATATTCTAAAGCCAGCAGAAAAATATGTACATACTTATTTGGAATATAACGAATTTATACAATATGTTTTTGTCATTCCTCTTTGTGTTTTTCGTACATTTTGACGTTTCGTTAAGATGTGGTGACCCTTTTTTTTCTATATTTCAATAAAATGGACTTGTACGACGTCGATTATAGTAAAAACTAATTTAGAGATATCTTACTCTCTTAATTTTGTTACTGGCTATTTTTTACTGACATATCTCAACAAACACAGCTATTGTTAATTGCTAAACATAATTCATCATCACAACTAAGTCAATAACAAAATTTTCCCTTTTGTTAAGTATGCGCCACTGGTCAATTATAAAATGGTAATAAATGCATTTATTTTAATTTTGTGTTTAACAAAATATATTAGGTGAGCGAAATTAAGTCCATTATTTTTGCAAGTGATTCCAAGCGGTTTTTATTGCAATCTTCGGCTCTTGATGGTCAGACTCGACAATGTGCATAACTTTATCGACATTTTCGACAATTGTCCTATCACTCCGTGAAGCATCTTTTACATCATAATTACCGAAATGAAACCGAAATTGTGCATGATTGACTGTAACAGTACAAGAACCATAAGCGCTATTCATATTTTCAGTCGCCTGCCATGCGTTTCTTTGACGCATGCTCAGACAAAAACTGAATCAACCAATCACAAAACTGTCAGCGAAGATTTTTTGGTACGAAATGTCATTTTTCCAATGCTATCTAAACGCCGAATGGACTTATACAACGCGAGATACAGAAAAATAGCGTCACCTATTGGAAAAATAATGGATTTCCTTTTACTACCCTTAATATATTATATTAAATTACTAAGGCAGCATGTGGGAAAGAGACAATTGTTTAATTACTTCACAAGGTTATTATTTCATCGTGAGTATTAACTAGCTATCTTGGTTTCGAACTCCAATTTCGAGGGCAAAAAGTTGTTTCAAACAGAAAGCAAATAGTAATTTAAATATTTCATGTTCAAGTTATACATCAAATCAATGTAATTTTGTCCTCTACTCTGCTAAGAAAAAAATTATTTTAAAAAAATCACTCTTTTAAGTTTTTATTTTTAAAATATTGAATATATTTGGAAATACTATAATTGTATGTTTAATTCATAAAATTATACAATTATCCTTCAATCCTACTTATCCCACAGACGAACTGAAATTGTAGCGGAGGAACGTCTCGCACCCTCATTGTACATACTGTTTGCCGCAATTATTCCTATACGTGACGAAGTAATTATATTAATTTTTTTTAATACCCTATCACAGCCATAAAAGAAGAAGTGCCAGCAAGATTGCCAAAAATACCCTATTGAATTTAGATTCTTATTTTATATTATTTATAACACATTTATTTTTAAAACCAACTTGTTCAAGAGCCTTAGGCCTTCAGGTCGATGTAGGCGTTGTTGGCGCTAAAAAACTGGAGAGGCATTAGAGAGCCTTCGTATTGGCGGAGTCAGCCACGAACCACTCATTTCGCTGTTGCAATCGCTTAATTACCTTATTTATTTTTGTTTCCACTTTTTGTTTGATGGTTCTACTAATATTTTGCTTTACTCTCTCACTTCACTTCACTTCAAAGCCTTGATTTTCTCTAAGCTCCTACCATAAAGAAATTTTCAAAGATCTCATCTTTTAACTTTAAGAAAAATAATAAATTCCGACGGTGGTGGAAATGATTGAGAGATGACCGTATTCTTCATGCACAACCTACCCTTTCTTTCTTTCTTAAAGACTCAATGTATATTATTAGCGCTTTGTAACCGTTGAAGTCATTTACGATCGAATGTCTTGAATATCCGGCGGGCACAATTATAAAAAGTAATTTTCTATAACTTTTGATGTTGGCCGGACTAAGACTCGAACCCCAGACATCCGACGGGCAGTACGGAATGCTAACCACTCGGATACTTTTTGTGGGATGTAATCTGTAAAATGATTACGAGCGCCATTCATATGTGTTGCCGCGTCGCTATTAAGACATCAGCTCCAGTACTTTAAATTTCCTTCATCTTTCGCTGCTAAAATTATAAACGCTGTGTATCGTTGTTGCTGTGGTCATTTCGGTTCTTCTCTTCTCGTTGCCCACCTCCTCGATTTTTCCACATTGGCTTTTTTTCTGGACACTCCGAAACAAAAGCTTACCAACCATTGAACAAAATTTATTTAAATAGCTGAACATCAGCTCTTCAGTTAAGACAATTGTGATATCTTCACTTCATTATAACTTTTATGTCTTTTTATCAAGTTCATTCAAGCTCCACGCCTGCGCATTAGCATGGATCGAAAAACAGGTAACTGGGAAACTTTTGCACAAACACGTTTTGGGTGTCCTGAAACCAAATTTCATTCATAACAAAGTAATAAAAAGTATTGTAGCTCTCTTGATACTTAGACACACGGGACCTGTCTGAAAAAAGTATTTTTTAAATCTGACTGAAGGCCTAGCTTTTCTGGACCGCACTTTGGCTCTTATGTAGGCGTAACGTTGCTCAGAACAACAAATTTGGGTTAAAGGTTCGGTTATAAGCTTAACAGTGCGTGCCATTGTCGCAAGATAAAGTATTCTGCAGTTCTCTTTGCCAGAAGATGTGATTTATTATCTGAGCCTCTCAACTAAATAAATTGCTCATCAGAAATCTCACATGGCCAAAAAATCACATCTAACTAAAGTAGTCTTCATTTTCAAATTAACAGAAGCAAAAAATTTATATATTTGATGGAAATTTCATAACGGTACGCTTGATGTGGGGATATTAAATATCAAACGATCGGGAAGAAATGGTTTGTCCCATGATACAAAAATTCTATAACGTAGTTTTTCTTCGAAATTTTTGACACTAAACGTGTTTATTCAGAAATGTTTGATCTTGCCACTTACAAAATTTCCAAAATAGAGATTTTTAAATTATTTTTGGGGTTATCTTCTAATCAGATGCTATAATATTGAATACACGTATGGATCTATTAAAATTTCGTTGCAAGCCGATTTTCATAAGTGCCAGAAGGAAGAAACGGATTTGCTTAATTATTATAAATAAGATGGAGAGTTAACATTTTTTACCCTTTTTCGAAACTTAGACATATAAGTTTTCTCTACTATATGGATAATGTCCGTGGTTTGGCTACCTGCTCATCGGGTCACCCGAGCCACCTAAATAGGGATGGTCATAACCCCAGTAAATTTTGTGGTCTGTTATCGATTTTTAGGAAATTTCTTCATCGATTCCCTAACATAGCTTGTATATCTAGAAATCAATAATCTCCAGAACATCGTAATATACGTTTGAGCATCTGGAAAGGTGAAAGGATCGTCTTCATAGAACCAACATAGGTATCATCAAGAGATCAGGGTTCCGTGATTGGGCAAGCTGTTTAACTAACTAATTGACTAGTATCAATATATTCAACGGTTAAATTGAATTTAAAAGTGTTTTAATGTTTAACCGACCGAAGCGACTTTTTGTTAGATTAAAAAAAAAACAACAATTATTACAACAATATTCTATTTGCTTACGAAATTCCTTGAAACTTCTCTAAAACTGTGAGACTGATTTGGATTCAAACGTGATATAGAAAATCCAGCCAGCTCTTCTTCTTCTTGAATTCGATTTAAACTTTTCTAAGCGAATCCCTTCCCTTTCAGTATACTTTCTTAAAATTTACTGATGTTGTAATACAATAATCGTGAAAGGCAAATACTAGATGAAGTCCACTATCGAAGGTTGTAAAATACAAAATAATAAGTAATTTTTGAATGTTTAAACATTTATAAAAATATGAAAATTCTCCTCATACTTTTTATTTAAAAATGGTACATTATTTTAAGAGAAGAAGGTAGCACGAAAAAGCCCAAACACGTTTAGTGTCAGATAGCTGTAAAGCCGACTGCGAACAGAGAATGAATCTACCTTTAAATTATTGTATCATGGTTCGTGTTCTATATTGCTATAGTTTTTCGCATCCCTCGCACGATGATTCTAAAACTCGTGTATTTCGATCCACCCTACTGCTCCAGCATGCTACGTATTTGCACGCACCAGGCACCGTAGTTACATTCATCCAATCTTTTTATCTGATAATTGCAACTCATAGTGATCGCGTGTGATATATTCTTATTTAATTTTCTTCAAAATCAATTACCGATTCACTAAAATTTAGCAACCACAGACGGCGAGAGAGTATAATGCGTGACTGCGCATTGTTATCTTTAAAAAAGCATTCATTTATACCAAATCAATAGTATGAATATTTATGTATGTATGTTCACATCTTTTTTATTATATACTCAGAATTTAATTAAGGCGTATACATATGTCATTAAGAGAGATCATACATGTTTAATTGAGGAGTGAAGTATTTTATCCTTGATATTCTAAAATCATACTGTACTCTCACGTTTAGGCATTAGTGGAGTGTGAGCTAAGCTAACACCCATTTTTTCTTTCGCTCGGCAGTTATTGTTCTTGTACCTCCAATGCGCTTGATCGTAAGTATTGAATTCATATGATTTACTGAGCACAGGAATTGTTGGCAACAAAACATTCGAATTAACTGTTAAAAAAAAATTTGAAGTAGATCCGTGCTCTACGGATATTGATTTCGTCGTTTTGCCTAGTAATTGCTGCTTAGATGAAAATGTTTGTGCGGAGTTCATGTCAATAACTAAAGATTTATAACCAGACCAAATTTGATGTTTTGAATGCTTTGGCAAACTTGATTGGTTGACAATGTTTAAATACGCAATTTTCGATGAATTCTGCAAAAGAGAGAATTACATAAATAAATTAGTTTATAAGCAAACATAAAATATACACATGTATATACATATGTACATGTATATAAATTAAACCTCAGTTGAACAAAGCTGATATACTATATTAACCATTATTATGAATACATGAAAATATTTTTTATTTATGTCCGAATGACCCAATTTTCACATCAATAAATTTATTTACTGAATCTGCTTAATTTACGCATTACAATAAGTTTTGGAATTTTAATAACCAATAAATTAGTACTTTAGTCCAGTAATAGCAATGGACGTCCAGTAACAGCAATGGACGTCAGTCAGAAGATTTCAGGGAACGATGCTATTGATTTTCAGTGAGGAATTAAGAAAGTTTATAAGTGGCGTTTCTGTTAAGTTACTTTTTTATTTTGTTTATGTCCAAGAAAATTATATATAAAATAATTCTTGTTTTATTTCTTGAGTTCGCGAAATATGGTGTCCATTACTTAAGAGTAACACTCAGGATATTTAACTCGTCGCATAGATGCTTCACTGTGCAAGTGATGCTCCGGCGACATCAGGAGGTTTCCTGTCGCGGTTCTGAGGGCGGGGTTCTGGCAAGCCTGTAGCTTCTTCATCTGCGTCTCGTTCGTCCCCGACCCCAAAATCGGTGCAGCATAGCTTACGACCGGCTAGCCAATCGCTTTTTAGGTTACCAGCTAAGTTTCTTTGTATTTGCCACAGCTGCTGTCGGCTAGCACTTTGTTGAGGCTCTGGAGTTTTGCGGCAATTGCGGTCGTATGCGGAGTGAAAGAGTGCAGGCTATATAGTGTTATTCCCAATATCTTTGGGTAGTTTACAGGCGGAATTTTTACGTCATCGACCTTCACATCTAATTCAGGCCTGTATTCCTTCGTTCAGCTGGTGAAGAGGGTAGCCGAGGATTTAGTCGGCTGTATTTTCAGTTGTCGTGCAGTGAAAAATTGAGAAAGATCGACAAGGAAGCAGTTCACTTTCGAGCAGAGGTCATCAATATTCTGGCCTGACGCCATTATCGTGCAATCATCGGTATACCAGGTTAGGGAAACTCCTTCTAGTGGATATAGACATATATATATATATATATATATGTATATATATATATATATATATATATATATATGTATGTATAAAACTTCTATTTAGTTGCTGTGGGGGCTCCAAGGCCTTGGAGATAATCTTATTGGTTGGATGTGATTCATTGGCTCTGTGGGTTTTAATCCAATAGAACACGGTGCCTTGCGCCGTCTTAAAAAGTCTTGTTTTGTACCACCAAATAAAATATGTGAATATACCTCCTAAAATGAGGTCGACTGGTACATTAGCGAAAAACATCATGGAAAGTCTGTTGTGTCATTTTGCTTGCTTTCCAAGTAGGAAAATTTCCTGTCAATTTCGGCAAAGCTAATACATCCACATCTTAGTTAAAAAGGCGGTCAATAGATGATCGCAGCTGAATGGTTTCCTTTACATACTAAGGGTTGTGAGGATAATTCCGCCTTTGAGTCTTTAAATGAAGTTCGTCGTTGTATGTCCAGCTGAGAAGCAATTCAAGCAATGTTGTCGGCTCTTAACATATTCTAAGGTCTAAGTATAAGTTTCCAAAATTCTTCCCACCATTTTGAAATTGCTGATATATTTTCTACAGTTTGTTGAGCATAAATATCTTTAAAAAAAACCAATCTCTGAAAGGAGATGTTCTGCCCAAAACGGTTCTTCCACTAACAAATATTATGGAAACGGAATACCTTGTCCGGGTATTCCATAAAAAGAGGTGTCACCTTTCTTTTTACATCGCGAAAGGAAAATTATCTCAGTGTACTTGGCGTGCCATGGTGGCATACGCTACACAACCCGGACCCTCTGGGTGATGGGACGACGCCAAATGATTGCGCACTAATATACGCTTGACAGAGAATTCTGAAGGTTGACGCGTTACCTGACTATGATGAGGTTCGAATAACAATTACCCGCTTAAAGAGCAACAAACCGGTTGGTTGTAAAGAGCTGACAAGATGCATAGCATGAGCTACTTTGCGGAATATGGTCGACGAAAGCATTCCAGTCGATTGGAATTTAAGTGTGTTCTGCCTAACCCCAAAAACAGGGAGGCCCCCATGACCCGCGAAAAGAGGATCGACACACATCCCCCTTTATCGATTTTAAAGCAGCCTTCGACAGCCTCTATCCGCTATATTTGATTTCGGTATATCCTCAAAACATATACGGCTATATAAACTGACGATCAGCAACACCAGCATCAGAAGGGGCCTCTTCCTATTATGAAACTTCCTTAATCTATTCTCGGAGAGAGTTAGAGGAGCTGAATAGACAAGGAAAAAATCTTCTATAAGAGTGGACAGCGGTTGGTATGCGCCGATGATATTAACAATGTTGGATTCAGCCGTGAGTTTTACTTTCTTCGATAAGTAAGTGAAAGATATGCGTCTGTTAGTGAACGAGGGTAGGACGAAATATCTCCTGTCAGCACACAAACAGTCGTCGAATTCACGACTGGGCTCCCACTTCACTGCTGACAGTCATAACTTTGAAGTTGTAGATAATTTTGTTTATCTTGGAATCAGTAGTAACACCAACAACAATGTCAGTCTGGATATCAAACGCAGAATCGCTATTGCCAAAAAATCAAACCCTACAAGTCGGCGAGAAAGGTTACTCCACGATTGGAGAACGACGAATACCATAGTCAATGGATAATAGGCGGTATGAGTTATACCGCTACATCGACATAGTTCAGTAAATCAAGAAATAGCGGCTACACTGGCAAGGTCAACTTTGAAAGATTTCGATGCAGTACCCACCAGTGGAAGCAGAAGAAAAGGAAGGCCCCGTATATGAGGACCTGGCTGTATGTACTCGGTATCTCCGATTGGCGCCAAACAGCGAAAAGAAGAAATGAATAGCGCAATATTTTTAATGCGGCTATAATCACGTACGCGGTAAGTATTCCCCGCGCTTTAGGCCATTTTCTCAGTTTAGGAGTTGTTAAATAATATTAACGACGAAGTTTATGAAAAAGCTCAAAGAAAAAAAAAACGATATGATATATGAGTGTGTTCGATTTTGCTTCCTTTAATAAAGCTCGTGTAATATATGTTATAGCACAATTATTTTATCACAAGCAGTTGCTTTTATTTAAATAGTTATTTTATACAAATGGTTTAAATTCACCGATAATAACTACGTACACCTTCCAAGTTGTGACAAGAAAAATCATATGTGGCACGTTGAATGTTGTTGTGATATATTGGTAAAGTTGGTGGCACAGTTAAATCTTGTTGCGGTTGTGCTGTTTATTTTTGTGCATTGTATGCTCTGTGTGTTTTTAGAAATGTATTAATTGTATCCGGATCGAAGGACCAATGTTTACATATGTGCGGCTTGGGATATTAGCACTCACACAAAAAAAAAATGGCCAGAAAATTTATTCTCAGTAGACTCCGAACGGCCGATGTAGGAGCTTTTTATTTCATAACAGAAACATACTCCGAGTATTTCGGGGTTGACATTCGCTGTCGACAGGCGACCGGAATTAGAAAAATTTGTTTCCTATAATTTTGGATGTTAGTCTTACCAGGACTTGAACCCTGGTCTTCAGAATGACAGTACGCAATGGTAACCATTTGGCAATTGCGCGGAATGATTGATTGATATATGTATAATAACGAAATTTGTTTTCAATAAAAATTATGGTTCTGTTATTTAATTCAATGAATGAATGTTTAATTTATGATATATACAATAATTTTGATAAATACATACATATATCTGAGAAAATGAGATTTTTAGTTTATAGTGTATTGGCTGGTACCTACATATATGGCTGTATCTCGCGTTTTGTAAGTGCGATTGGATTACGCTGGATTGTTTTATATTCTACATATTTACATATCTTTGCTTATGGATTTTTTTTTATTTATTTTATTTTTAATTCTTGAACATTTTTTTCTATATTACTTGTTTATTTAATTTAAGTCATGCAAATATATACAATTAAATAAATTAGGCGAGTGCCTTTTCTGACTTTGCAAAAAAGTAAAATATTACTAGAAACCTCAAATCATACCATTTAAAGAAGCGAATATAAAAAAATAAACCAAGAGGCAAACAAATTCAGAGTGTGCAACAACGATATATGGCCCAGCAGAGGAAGGAGAAGTAGTCTGCACTGCAGACAGGCTTAGACCGCTATATCTACAATTAAAGAAAAACTCACTCAAGTAATAGTACCCCAAAGAAAGTACTACTAAGTGAAACTATTGATAAATATAAGGAACCATAATGTAGGCACAGATGTTCTATGTTATGTGAAAACCCAAATGCGAAAATGTACTCCTACAGTTGGTAATGCCATCCTTATCCAAAAAAAAAATATATATACTAAAATACTATATATTGCAAATGATGCAACTAATAATTTTATGTTGGCTGAATTAGCCGAGAACGGCCTTGAAACTCAGTTAACGATTATGACACCAACACAGTAAGTTCTAAATGCAACTTGGCGACTTGGACTCAATCAAATCGGCAGGCCTTGACCTAAATTCGCCGAATTCTTAGCACTGACTTCCAATCTCTTTAATATCCCTCTGAGATTGTGTTGTATAAAAAAGTAGCAGATTTCAATGCCAAAAAAGCAAAAAAACACACAAAGGCGTCTTGTTGTAGACCAATAAAATAACTATCCAACTTTTGGAAATTTTTCCAAAGAACTTTGCGTAGATATCTTTTTTTTCCATCGTAACAAATTGCTGCCAAAACAGCAATTCGGTTTTCGTGAAAAAATTCCATTGTAGAAAAAGTCAACCGAGTTACTAATGAAATCAGGAAGGCATTCGAGTTCTAAGTGTATTACTATGCAATACTTCTTGACGTAGGGCAAGCGTTAAGCAATGCTACTGTTTCCTCAGGGCCTTGGTCCGAGTAAGCCGAAAATGCACGAGGAAACGAAGAGAGAATGACGT